CCAGATCTCACTTTGAGGTACTCTGGTACACACAACTGTGAAAGACAAGTGGGATCTGAGTTTACAGGAGAGTTGAGAGTAAACAATGCTGAGATTAGCTTTGTTGGACTATCACAGAGAACGGTGCAGCCTGTGCAGTTTACCTGTTACTATTTTAATCTCTCATAAAGGTGTTATTTGCACTGCTCTCTATGTTGCATGGGAGGCCTTTCTGTTGTGACTGCACTGGAAGGGGCTCCTTAGAAATCTTCATAAAGAAATCATTTCCAATAAGCTCCACGAGAACAGTCAGTGGCCATCCTGAATTGTAATCCCTAGGTTATTGGATACATTTCATACAGAGACTGGCAGTTTGGCAGCCTTCTCAGTTCACTATTTCTGCTTGCCAAGAGAAAGAAAGTTGTGACCCCTTGCTTTCTCATTCTATCCTTCTGCAAGGAAATAAAAAAGATCTCAAATACAGCGTGCTGTATTAGCATTGAAGGGAAAGAGCTAATATGCACTTACACAATCCAATTTATACTCACATAATCTACTGAAGGAAACAGCAGAGTGACATTTGCGCCTAATCCTTCCATGGGGTTGTGATTAAGACTGCAAACAGCAGAAGGAAAGCACACAGTTGCCTGGTACATGGAGGCAAATGAAAGTTTCTTGATCAGAAAAGGAGTACCTGTAACAGGAGAAATATGTTTTAGTTATAGTTTTGTTTGTTTGTTTGTTTATTTGTTTAGTCTTGCTCTGTTGACCAGGCTGGAGTGCAGTGGTGCCATCTCGGCTCACTGCAACCTCCGCCTCCCAGGTTCAAGTGGTTCTCCTGCCTCAGCTTCCCAAGTAGCTGGGATTACAGGTGCCTGCCACCACGCCCAGCTACTTTTTGTATTTTTAATAGAGATGGGGTTTCACCAGATTGGCCAGGCTGGTCTGGAACTCCTGACCTCAGGTGATCCACCCGCCTTGGCCTCCCAAAGTGCTGGGATTACAGGCATGAGCCACCGCACCCGGCCTGTTTTTTGTTTTTTTAAAGGACCTTTGAGCAACGTAATCCTCAAATGGAAATGCAGTGAACAACCGAATTAATGACAGAGCTGGGATGTGAGGAATAGAGCCACATGCTCTAGGGGAGATGTAGGATAATGAGAGGTAAAAGAGAAGAGAGTTGGGGGGCAGAAAGTCACACGGGCTAAGACCAAGTGGACATGGCAGAATCGGGTTGTGCTTATTTTACACAAGTGACCGAGGCTTCTCTGCTGGCATCCTGTCACATCACATACATGGTATTTCCTTGTTCCTTATTCAGATGCAAAAGGGGGAGGACGGTGGCTTTTTGAAAAGCAGACGTAAGCGCAGCAACTCACCAGAGTGGTGTCCTTACTCTGCCTTTGGCCGCTTTAAGTCTGAACTGCCACTGTCTTCTCTTTGCTGATCTCTTGAAAACCTAGGTTTTTTGTTGTTGTTGTTGTTTGTTTGTTTCTTTGTTTCAGACAGAGTCTTGCTCTGTCGCCCAGGTTGGAATGCAGTGGTGCAATCTTGGCTCAATGCAACCTCCATCTCCCAGGTTCAAGTGATTCTCCTGCCTCAGCCTCCTGAGTAGCTGGGATTACAGGCGCCCACAACCACACCTGGTTAATTTTTGTGTCTTTAGTGGAGACTGGGTTTCACCATGTTGGCCAGGCTGGTCTTGATCTCCTGACCTCGTGATCTGCCCTCCTCGGCCTCCCAAAGTTCTGGGATTACAGGCATGAGCCACCGTGCCCGGCCATGCCCAGATAATTTTGAAAATTTTTTTGTAAGGCTGGGCATGTTGGCTCATGCCTATAATCCTGACACTTTGGGAGACGGAGGCAGGTGGATCGCTTGGGTTCAGGAGTTTGAGACCAGCCTGGCAAACATGGTGAAACTCCGTTTCTACTAAAAAGACATAAAAATTAGCTGGACATGGTGGCAGATGCCTGTAATGCCAGCTCCTTGGGAGGCTGAGGCAGGAGGATCACTTGAACCCAGGAGATGGAGGTTGCAGTGAGCCAAGATCACACCACTGTACTCCAGCCTGGGTGACAGAGTGAGTCTCTGTCTCAAAAAAAAAAAAAAAAAAAAAAATATATATATATATATATATATATGTGTGTGTGTGTGTGTGTGTCTATTTATTTATTTATTTATTTATTTATTTATTGTAGAGATGGAGTCTCGCTATGTCACCCAGGCTGGTCTTGAACTCCGGGGCTCAAGTGATCCTCCCACCTCAGCCTCTCAAAGTGTTGGGATTACAGGCAGGAGCCACCAAAACTGGCCAGATCTTCTTTAAAGTAGATCTGCTAGCAACAAATTCTCTTAGTTTACCTTCTTCTGATAATATTTTGATTTCTCCTTTTCTGAAGAATGTTTTTCACCAGGTACGAGTTCTATATTGACAATTATTTTCTCTTGGTACCTAAAAAATATTGAGTCACTTTTTTCTGGTCTGCATGGTTTCTAATGAGAAATTTGCTGTCATTCTGATGCTTTTGATTTATAAGTAAGGTATTGTTTTTTCCCTAGATGCTATAAAGGTGTTTTTCAGCTGGGCATGGTGGCTTGCACCTGTAACCCAGTATTTTGGGAGGTTGAGGCAAAAGGGTCACTTGAGTTCAGTAGTTTGACACTAGGCTGGGCAACATAGTGAGACGCTGTCTCTACCAAAAAAAATTTAAAAATTAGCTGGACATGGTGGTGCATGCCTGTAATTCCAGCTACTCAAGAGGCTGAGGTGGGAGGATCACTTGAGCCCAGGAGATTGAGTCTTAGGATTTGCTCAGTTTGTTGAACCCTTATGTTTATGTCTGCTTTCAAATTTGGGACTTTTTAGCCCTGCCCTCTTTCTCTCTGCCTTCTGAGATTTCAGTGACACAAATAGTAGACATTTTGGTGTAGTACCAAAGATCCCTGAGGGTCTGTCTCTTTTTTTGGTCTGTTCAGATTGGGTAATTCCTGTTGATCTGTCAGCTTAGTGATTATTTCATCTGTCCCTCTCATTCTGCTGTTATGTCCATTCTCTAAGTTTCTTACCTTGGTTTTTGTATTTTAAAGTACTAAAATGTTCCTTTCATTCTTTTTTATGTCTTCTGTTTTTTTTGAGACGGAGTCTTGCTCTGTCGCCCAGGCTGGAGTGCAGTGGTGCGATCTTGGCTCACTGAAAGCTCTGCCTCCCGGGTTCATGCCATTCTCCTGCTTCAGCCTCCTGAGTAGCTGGGACTATAGGCACCTGCCACCACGCTAGGCTAATTTTTTGTATTTTTAGTAGAGATGGGGTTTCACCATGTTAACCAGGATGGTCTCGATCTCCTGACCTCGTGATCCGCCTGCCTTGGCCTCGCAAAGTGCTCGATTACAGGCATGAGCCACTGAGCCCGGCGGGCCCCAAGTTTTCTAGCCGGCATGGCTTTTCTCTTCATCTTTCCGAGCTGAGCCTTGATATGGGTGTATGTATGTGTGTGTGTGTGTGTGTGTGTGTGTGTGTATCTTATCAATATATTTTATATATAATATCAATGTAAATATATAATAGTTACATATATCTATACATTAGATATATGTATATATTATATATAGATATATTTATAAATAAAATGTCCAAAGTTTTTTCATTGTACTTAGCAGGAGTAATAAGAAAAAGTAAGTCTATTTAATTTCCTGGAAGTGGGAAGTATTATTTTTTAAAAGATTTGACATTTTGTTAATAAAAATAATTCAGTATAAAAGGGGAATCATTACAATACAGAATGGTGAGACAGAAAGCAAGGTCCTTGAGTTGGTGAGATGACACATGGAGGGGCTGGTTCTCTGATAGAATATGGACACCTCTTCCATTGGCACAAAAGGGAAGGTAGATGGACATACATTGCAGACAGGTCTAGAGAGTCAGGGTTGAGTAGATGAAGGGATTCCTCTACATTTGACCAGTGCCGTTCAACAGAAATTTCTGAGATGGTGAAAATGTTCTATATCTACACTGTCCAGTATGATAGTAAGGGGAGACGTGGCTGTTTAACATTCGCAATGTGGTTAGTGCAACTCAGGCACTGAATTTTTAATTTAAATTAATTTAAATTTAAATAGCTACATGTGGCTAGTAGCTACCATTGGACAGAATAGCTCTAGATGAAAGATGAGGTAGATTCATTGGTTGAAAGTGAAGCTGAGAGGTGAGGATGTAGGAATAAGTTGGAAGTTACAGAAGAGATAAAAAGATGTAACACAGTCCTCTTGATTTGTGATCATGGCTGGTCAACACAGTTGTGTGATTTTCTCCAGCAAATACAGTTGTAGAAAAATCGTATTATAAAAACATTGGCTGGGTGTGGTAACTCATGCCTGTAATCCCAGCACTTTGGGAGGCTAAGGCAGGTAGACTGCTTGAGCCCAGGAGTTCAAGACCCTGTCTCTACGAAAAATACAAAAATTAGCTGCAAGCGCACTTGTAGTCCCAGCTTCTTAGGAAGCGAGGTGGGAGGATCACTTGAGCCTCAGAGTCAGAGGTTGCAGTGAGTTGAGATCAGCCACTGCACTGCAGCCTGGGTGACAAAGTGAGACTCTGTCTCAAAAAACAAAACAAAACAAAACCCTCCCCTACACCGCCACACACACATTTTGACACCAGAGTTGAACTAACCCCCATTCTTCTCTAGTTTTCCAGGGAGGAAACAGATGGTCATGAAAATAAATAACTGAAGATACTGGCCCAAGGTGACTACTATCTGGCATAACCAGGTCCTTCAGTGTTTCGTTCCCTCAAATTAGTACCCTTTCCTTCATTTGTCTGCCTCCTCTTGCACCCTATATTTGAATGATTTAAGACCTATAGTCAAATGTTTCAGTACTCTCTAAAATCAGACCTGGAATCCAGACTGATCTCAGGAAAGGTGTGACCCCCAATATTACTTATGTATAAAATATGAGCCAATATTTTGCCTTCTTTTGTTGTTAATCATTTTTCTTTGGTTTCTTTTGTCCCTATGCAGAGTCTCAATACCTTCACAGAAGTGAAGCAGCAGCAACCAAATGAATTAGGAACGTGATTCCTAGAGAATGGCAAGACCAATCCTTCAACGACTTCTTCAGCATTTCTGAAACATATGGAAGATGGCCCATTGTGTTCTCTTAATTCTTTGATAATCTGGACATTGACTTTTCCATTATATGACCTGGACTTGTGGGCATCATGTTGTAATGCACCTGTTCAGAAACCTCCCTGTACCAATATGTATCATTTCAAGAGACTCCTTTGCCTCCACAAAAAAGGACACAGTTGTGTACCTCTTCCCATTTACAGTGCCTAAAATTATTTGAGCAGTTTTTCACCTCTTCTCTGATAAACACTTTATTCGTCTTTAAAAAGAAAAGAAAAAAGGAAAATAAAACTTTTATTGAGATCCTAATGTGGCAAATGCAATCATATAAATAACTTATTTATTCAACAAATAGTATATGCACAACCCAACGAAGAAAATGAAGGATACATAGATGATGAGGACAAAGTTCATGCTTAAAAGAAGCTCATCGTCTACTGAGAGAGACAGATAATGTCTAAGGATAAATAGCAGCATAAATAAATTCAACCCTGGGAGGTAACCATTTTTATTCTTATTTTACAGATTCAGAAACAGGCCACAAAAGGTTAAGTGATGAATTCATGATCACACAGCCAGACACAGGATTTCAACTCAGATTCAAATAATGCCAAAATACTTCCCATTGGGGAAAAAAACTTGCCTGTAAACTACATTTAAAATTTTATTTTGGGCCGGGCGCGGTGGCTCACGCCTGTAATCCCAGCACTTTGGGAGGCCGAGGCGGGCGGATCACAAGGTCAGGAGATCGAGACCACGGTGAAACCCCGTCTCTACTAAAAATATAAAAAATTAGCCGGGCGCGGTGGCGGGCGCCTGTAGTCCCAGGTACTCGGGAGGCTGAGGCAGGAGAATGGCGTGAACCCGGGAGGCGGAGCTTGCAGTGAGCCGAGATCGCGCCACTGCACTCCAGCCTGGGCGACAGAGCGAGACTCCGTCTCAAAAAAAAAAAACAAAAAAAAACCAAACAAAAAAACAAAATTTTATTTTGAATGTCAAGCTTAAAAAATAAGATATTATTAACATGTATCACTAAAACATTTTTTTAATGCTCTGAAATATTATGAGGAAAAGTCATCATCAACTTTGATTCTATCTTTTATTTTTTTGAGATGGAGTCTCACTCTGTTGCCCAGGCTGGCATGCAATGGCACAATCTTGGCTCGCTGCAACCTCCACCTCTTGGGTTCAAGCGATTCTCCTGCCTCAGCCTCCCGAGTAGCTGGGATTACAGGCATGCACTACCGCGCCTGGCTAACCTTTTTTTTTTTTTTTGAGACAGAGTCTCGCTTGTTGCCCAGGCTGGAGTGCAATTGTGTGATCTTGGCTCACTACAACCTCCACTTCCTGGGTTCAAGCAATTCTTCTGCCTCAGCCTCCCAAGTAGCTGGGACTACAGGCGTATGCCACCATGCCCAGATAATTTATTTGTATTTTAGTAGAGATGGAGTTTCACCATATTGGCCAGGCTGGTCTTGAACTCCTGACCTCAAATGATCTGCTCGCCTTGGCCTCCCAAAGCACTGGGATTACAGGCATGAGCCACCGCGCCTTGCTGACTCTATCACTCTTTAAAAGACATAGAAGCGTAGTCTTGGAAAATGAGCCCTGAGACTGAATCAAGGACAAAGTCACTGAAAATAACTCCTGGCTTCCCGACATTCTAGCTGTGTGAACATGGACTTGTAACTTAATGTCCTCTAAACTTCAGATTTCACACACTTAAGGTGAAGATAAATAATACTCATTTCCCTGGATGAAGATTATATGAGGTATGTCTAGGGATGCAGTAGACATACATTAAATGTCAGCCGACTTTGAATCAAGCAGTGTCATTGTTCTGGTTTTTCCTAGGATTTGACTTTTACAATATTCAGTTTGTTTACTTGTTGAGAAAAATTAAGGGGAGGGGCAGAGAAATGAAGTAGTGGATGGAGAGAGAAAGGAGGTGTGTTCACATTGAAGATGAGAATGTGGATTTATAATCTATAAAACTGAAGTTTTCCTTTGAGAATTGCAAAGTGGACTTTGTAGAGGGTGGAGCTCCATGGTGCTTCACATCCTGGCACCTAGGAATAACTTCCCAAGGACTTAAAAAATTAACAAATTAAAACCACTGTTATTCCTAACTCCATTTCTAACCTGTGTATCCAACACAGTAATGTGAGGTGTTTATGTTTGGAACCACTGGATAGGCTGCTAGTTGACTTCAGGCTTAAAACTAGCTGACACAAAGCAATTTCTGGTTGAACCAAATTGACCTAACAAAATGCAAAATTGTTCTAACAGGGGGGTTGTGCATTTCACTCTATGGGGCCTGAATGCAGTGGAAATCCCCACACTGTCTAATGACATTTCTAGGTATACTGCTCCCCAAATTACTGCTTTCCTGAATGAGAAGGCAGCACTAAAAAACATCAAATGGCCAACACTAAGCAGCCATTCTCATATTACTGCCTTTAGGGTGACTGCATTTCAAGGATGCCAAGATATAGCAAATACACACTTTTAGGATGCCCAAGACTTTTAGACAATTTGAGAACACCAGAGTTGCTACAAAAACTTTACAGGAGGCCACTGATTCTCCATATCTGTAGTCATTTGGGCCCAGGTAAGCATGGCCTTGAGCAGAAATGCACCAAATTTGTACTTTCTCTATCCTGGCACTAGGACGCTTTGTGTGCTGGAAAGTTTGCATCCATAGTAATTCCCTGTGTTGGACCTGACCTCTCCATCCCAGTTGACTATGGAAGGAAGCCAAAAAAGAGGGGGGTGTTGATGCATTTATTTGCATTTGCCATTTTTATTTGCCTTAGGAACATTAGACTGCAGGCCTCCTTAAGCATGAACTGTTTGTCAAAGTCTGGTGTTGCCTTTTGTGAACTGGTCTAGCCAAGAGTTGTTTTAACCCAAATGGGGAGATAGGGGTGGGGCTGGGGTGGGGTAAGACATCTGCAGAGCCCAACAACCGTTACCAAGGCCTACCCTGGCTCTGCCTCTACCTGCCAAACGTTAAACAAAGCCCCTGGGAGAACTCAGGCAAGCTGAACACCTTGGTCAAACACTAAGCAAACCACCACCAGGTGTGCTTGCAGAACAGACTCTCCATCAGCGTCCTGTCATGCAGAAAATGTTTATCCAATTTGTCAAGATAATCTTTCCTCAAATAAGCTTTGGGCCTATTCCTTGGAACAGCCTGAATTTAGTCGGTATAATGTAACTCTATTTTTTTTCACCCATTTTCCTTTAATCGCTGTGTCAACTTTTCCCTGGCTTTAAGCAAACTGAAAGTAATTATATCATTCTTAAGTGAGTAATCTTCTGACTGGGTTAGCTGATTCGTGAGTTACTCTAAAGTTCTAAACTGTGCAGTTCTTTTTCAAACACATTTTCTTAGATGTTTCACAAAGTTTGGCTCATCGATGACCCACGGATGTGTTTATTCTGTCACGTTTTGTGGCTACGCCGTGACTACATTAGGGCATTTGAAAAGAAGTTAAGTGTAGAAATATGAGAAGGGGGAAAAAGGAAACTTCACCTACTAATTTCGGTATTTCTTGGAAATATTACAGTCATTGTAAATAACTTGCAGCTTCAAGCATGAAGAATGTTTGATTCGTGCTTTGAATCATGGTGTAATATTAGAGGCTGGGCTTGATGGACTTAAAAAGCACTCACTTCTTTCATTTCATTATATAGTTTCCTTGCTATTTGACACCTTATGTGATATTGTTTTGTTTAAAAAACAGCAACACTAAAGGTTACCACATTTTTCTTCGTTCTACTCATTGACATACTCCCACAGAACTCATGATATATTTAAAAATAGAAGGCTCAGCCATCTGGCTATTCGATGGTTTCTATTTTTGTTTCTCTTTGCATTCACAAAGTCTGTTGCGTCTGAAATTCTCTATGTTCTGCCCTATATGTAATTGTGTATACACACACACACTTTCTCATTTAAATTTAGCCATTATCAATCTGGGTTTGTTTTACCGACCACAGTGGCACTTTGGTGGGGACGCTAACCTTGCTTAATTTATGCATTAGTCAAGTCTGCATTAAAGCCTAACTCTGAGGATTGTTACCTAAAGCCTAAAAGATGCCAAATTAAAGGCATTTCTTATTAATATGTACCACCCATGTTTACTCAGGATTTTCATTGATAGAAATAGGCTCCTTGCCTTGGCTTTGATGAAGCCACAGGACCACAGGGAGCTTTAAATCTCATCTCATGAATCCCCATCATTTTACACTCCCGGAAACTAGGGTCTAGAGATGTAGAGAAAGATCAGTTTAAGGTCACATGGCTAATTAGCAGTAAAATTCCCTTTAGAATACAGCTCTCCTGACTTTTACTAATGCTCTATCCGTTTTCATAAAACTAGATAAGAGCTAATAAGGATATGTTTTGTGAAGTTCACCAATGTATACTTTAATTACCTTAATTACATGTTTATAACCTGTGTTATTTATTTATTTTTAACCTGTGTTATTTATGGGATTATGTTTACCAGCAAAATTGAAGTGCATTGTTGTGTTTTGATGGTTGAAAATAATATTTCCTCACCTCTCAGGTGTCAGTGACCCTCAAACTTTATTGCATGCGTGAATGAGCTGGTTAAAAAGGCAGATTCCTCAAGAGAATGGAAAGACAAGCCACAGACTGAGAGAAAATAATTGCAAAAGACACATTTGATAAACTATTGTTATCTAAAATATACAAACAACTCCCAGTCGGGTGCAGAGGCTCATGCCTGTAATTCCAGCACTTTGAGAGGCTGAGGCAGGTGGATCACCTGAGGTCAGGAGTTCGAGACCAGCCTGACCAACATGATGAAACCCCGTCTCTACTAAATACAAGAAATTAGCTGGGCATGGTGGCGCATGACTGTAATCCAAGCTACTTGGGAGGCTGAGGCAGGAGAATCACTTGAACCCGGAGGCAGAGGTGGCAGTGAGCCAAGATTGCACCATTGCACTCTAGCCTGGGCAACAAGAGCAAAATTCCATCTCAAAAAAATAATAATAAATAAAATAAAAATAATAAAATATACAAACAACTCTTAAAACTTGACAATAAGAAAACTGAACAACCTGATTTTTAAAATAGGCAAAAGACCTAAATAGACATTTCACCAAAGAAAATAAACAGATTCCAAGTAAGCATATGAAAAGATGTTCATCATCACGTGTCCTCCTCGTGGAATTGCAAATTAAAACAACAATATGATTATGATACCACTACACATGTATTAGAAAAACCAAAATCTAGAACACTGGTGACACCAATGCTGGCAAGGATGTGG